CTTAAAAAGTCTTAAATTTAACTTGTTCATGTCTGTAGAAACCCTGAGGTTATAGACACCATGCAAATCAATGAGAAGCCTACATCCTTTTTCCATTATTTTGAACCTCTCTATGTCATTCATGATATGCCCAGACCTCCAGAGGAACGTTTATCTCTCAGATCAGGTGTGCATTTATTTATTTATTTTGGTAAAATACAATGAGTTCTATGTGATAACTACTATGATTACTATGAAAACTATGATTTTGGTGTGCATTTTAAAGATGTAAATGCCAGAGAACCAACTTATGGTTGGGCTGATCATGAAGTGGAGAGGGCAACTCAAGAACCAGCTCTTCAACAGGAGGACACAGGGATGGTTCCTGAAAGTGAACTTCAATCTGAGAGTACAGGTAGTGTAATGATTATCTATAAATGAGGGATGCAGAATATTTTGCAGCCCACCAAAACACTTTTTTTTTTTTACAATGGAAAATTTGGGTTTTAAGCTTGTACAAACAAATATTTGCAATTTTACTCTGATCATTTACACTTCTGTTTTTTTTATTTTTTATTATTATATTGGAACCTGCACCAGTTATGATCGCTATCCAGACATGTCCCACCAAACTTCCTGTTTAAACATTTGACAATTGTATAAGTAATAAATGATGCCAAGATTGTGTGCACTATATTTCTTCTCTTTCATCGCCATATATGTGTGTAGAGGCACATGTGTCTGAGGTTCAGGGGCTGGCTAGTGACTCAGAGAGTTAAATCTTCTGTGACTCATTGGAACAGCTGGACACTGTTAAAGGCAGAGTAAGTGATTTTTCAAAAACACTTTAGAAAACTGATTCGGGCCGAATCGCAAAACAAACTTGTAGCCAATCAGCAATAAGGGGCGTGTCTACTCATGATGTGGAGGAGAGCGCGTTCAGTGCATGGGACGGACATTAGCCGAGCCGAGCGACAGAAAGATAGAGATGGCGGATAAAAAACAAAAGAGGAAAACGTCTGCGGAACGATAAGGCAAGAAGTAGGACCTGTGTAAATATCGGATCAGCTTTCCAGCGCTGGAGAGAACTCAAGAAGCGGAGGCCTGCGATCGGATGCCGAGGTTGCTTTGTTTCTTCTCAATAGGTGAGTAACACCGTGTCTACAACAGCTAAAGTCTGCCTACACTGGACGCGATCAAACAACCGTTGAAAACCATTTGAAATTTGTGTCAGCACGTCATAAATAGAACCCGGCAGCAGTTTTCTGTCGGGGATTTGTTGCGCCGCGCTGCGCCGCGCCTCTCACGTCCGTAGACACGGTGTAATATTGGTTTTGCTTTGTTTCACATAACTAATCGTTGCCTGGGTTGCGTACGTATATGTGGGGCGGAGCTATCAAAATAGGGGCAAGACCCTTTTGGGGTAGGGGCGTGTTTGTTTTGGTGATTTCAAATATCAACATTGGCTACCAGAAATCACTTACTCTGCCTTTAAGGTCTAAAATTTTACTAAGTCTAATTAAAATGTGTGTAACAATCTATGTCCCGCATTTTTTACAATATTTATTTTATGCACTTACAGCTTGCTGCAATGCCAGATGGTAATGCCAGTTCCCAGAATGGGCATGCACTCATTGAGACCTCTGGAATCCAGGTGCATCATTACAGCCCTCTCTCTCAGGTGATTCAGATCGGTGCTGGACATGGTGGTGAAGGGGCAGAAGATAGGCTTGGTCCTCCCATTAGGAGGAGAACCACAGGGAGAGAGGGGATGCAGCAGGGCTGGAGGAACCCCTCAGGTAAGTTTAATCTAATTGCACATTATAAACCACAACACCCTTTTTGACTTCTTGTGTCACTATTACAAGTGCCACCATGTAACAATATTTTTGTAAATTTTATAAAATTGTTAAAAATATCAAAATGCATGGATCCCTACATTTACATAACCGTTCCAAGAGTTTTGTCATAGCTACAGTGGGGAAAATATTTATTTGATCCCCTGCTGATTTTGTAAGTTTGCCCACTTACAAAGAAATGAAGGGTCTGTAATTTTTATGGTAGGTTTATTTTAACGTATAGAGACAGAATACTAACAAAAAAAAAACAAACACATTATATTAGGGCTGGGCGATATAGCTAAAAAATGTATCAACGATATAATATGAAATATCGTTCTGTATCGATAATTATTGACATTTGTATAACCTTTTTTTAAAACAAAAAGCAATATAATTTTTTTTTTTTTTTATTTAACCACTGTATTTATAATTAACACAATTTATTGAGACAAACAACAAATATTTTTTGTTTTAACAATCAAACACAATAAAAATTAAACAAATATCTCATTTCTAATGTTTTATATGCAGATTAAATAGGTCTTTATTGTATAGGTCTAATTGTCTCCCGAGGCCACAGGAGGGCGCAGTGAGCAAAATAATGCAGTGCATTTAGCAAGTAACTCTATAAAAACGTGCATTACGTCTAAATTAACTCATAAAAATCAAATATAATTTCGTAAATTGCATAAACAATTATGAACAAAACAGCATCATGTATTTATGCATTGCTTAATCCAAAGAGCCGAAGCGCCATTCACACAGACTGCATTTAAAAACATATGAGACACAGTGAAAAGGAATAAACCTCCACAAATTTGCAACATGCTTTCTAAAAGTTTAAACTGTTTTAACTTAGCATGGCTTTCTATACATCTCTTCTGTGAGACGCAAGTGCAGCAGTCATATTTGTCCGTCTAAAAAATGCGCTGAATATGCGTTCTGTGTGAATTGCTTGGTTTCGGTTTTAACCCATTCAAGATCTTCTCCGCATTGAGCTTCTGTATTTCTCTAATATTTTGAATGAATAACGCAGCAGCGGCGCGTCTCGTAGGATGCAACAACGTCACTTACATCATCACCGCATCTCGCTGCGCCACTGATGACGCTCCCTGATGCACACCTAACATTCAAATGCAAATGTTTATTTTAAATTTGACTTAATATTCATTCTTTATTCACAATCTCCTCATCACAGGCAGGCACAGCACTCATTTCAGCATGTGTTTGTGTGTGC